GCTCGCTCAGCGCCCTGCCCCCGCCCCGCTGCTCCCGGTGACCCAGTTTCTCTCTTATATAAGCGCCATGGAGGGCGGAGCGAGCCGACTGCCAGCGGCTGGGCCATGGGCGGACACTGTGGACGCTCCGGAGGCACCACGTGTGCGGCGAGTTCAGGACACAGGCCAACTCCCTGCTCCTCACGTGACTGATGCCCCCAGAACTGGACTCCTTAGGGGGTCAGGCAGTGAGGGGTGGCAGCCCCTGTTCCCTTCCACTGCCCTGAGGGCACCAGGTAGCTCCATCCTAGGGGGGCAAGGCCTTTGTGACGCCGACCCTGGCCCAGCGCTCTGCAAGTGCGTGTGTGCTCCATGTGTGTGAGGTCACCGCATTCCACACGTGTGCACTGCATGTGTGAGGTCACCACATCCCCACACGTGCTCCACATGTGTGAGGTCACTACAGCCACACATGTGTGCTCCATGTGTGAGGTCACTATATCCCCATGCATATGCTCCCTGTGTGAAGTCACCGCATCCCCACATGTGTACACTGTATGTGTGAGGCCACTGCATCCCCCTGTGTGTGCTCCACATGTGTGAGGTCACACATCCCCCCGCATGTACATTGTATGTGTGAGGCCACTGCATCCCCCTGTGTGTGCTCCACGTGTGTGAGGTCACACATCCCCACACGTGTGCTCCATGTGTGAGGTCACTACAGCCACACATGTGTGCTCCATGTGTGAGGTCACTATATCCCCATGCATATGCTCCCTGTGTGAAGTCACCGCATCCCCACATGTGTACACTGTATGTGTGAGGTCACTGCATCCCCCTGTGTGTGCTCCACATGTGTGAGGTCACACATCCCCCCGCATGTACATTGTATGTGTGAGGCCACTGCATCCCCCTGTGTGTGCTCCACGTGTGTGAGGTCACACATCCCCACACGTGTGCTCCATGTGTGAGGTCACTACAGCCACACATGTGTGCTCCATGTGTGAGGTCACTATATCCCCATGCATATGCTCCCTGTGTGAAGTCACCGCATCCCCACATGTGTACACTGTATGTGTGAGGTCACTGCATCCCCCTGTGTGTGCTCCACGTGTGTGAGGTCACACATCCCCACACGTGTGCTCCATGTGTGAGGTCATGCATCCCCTCGCGTGTGCTCCACATGGTGAGGCCACCGCATCCCGTGCCCCCGTGGAGGAGCTGTGAGCATCTGCCCAGCACAGACACTGAGGCGTGGGGAGGACAGCAGCTGGCCAAGCCCACACTCACCAGCCTCACCCCAGCCGGGGAAGCAGCTCCCTCCAGCTGCCCGTACCCCTCCATGAGGTGGAGGAGGGGGCGGCGGCGGGGGTGGGGGGGTGCGGTGCCTGAGGGGAGCAAGCAGCCCTGCTTATGGGCAGGCGGGAGGGGCAGGGAGCCCCTGCTGGGGGGAGGGGTGGCATCCAGAGGCTGCCGGCGGTCTGAACACAGAACCTGCAGGCAGGGGCGGGGGGGCCTGCGCTCCAGCCCCTTCCTCCCCCCCGCTTGCGTTGTCCCATGCCCGGAGTCTGGGCCGGGGAGGAAGGACTGGGAAGGGGTGGGTGAGCAGAGGGGCGGCGAGAGCAGGTGCAGTCTGCAGGGGCCTCTGCGTGCTGTGTGCACGCGTGAGCCTTTGTCTCTCCCTGCTGATGTCAGGACCGGACCCGCCCAGGAAGGCCCACCCCCCACCGCCTCTGAGGCCCTGCCCAGCTTCCCAGAGGTGCCTGGTCAGCTCCGTGGCCATGGCCCTGTGCGCAGCTGGCCAAGAACCAGCCCACTCGGGAGGCCCTGTGGAGTCTTGGGCCCTTTCAGGCTGGAAGCGCAGGGGTGCGTGGGCCGCCCAGGGGCAGCCGGCGGCCTCAGCCCCCCACAAGCATCCCAGGCCCTTGAACCTCGAGCAGTGTCTGCCCGGCTGCAGCCCCCGCCCCTGCTCCTGGACCTGGGCTTCTTGTCCAGGAAGGGGTGATCAGAGGGCGGGCACCGTCTCCCGGGAGGGACAGTGGCTGCGCCAGACCCCTGCCGACCGTCACTGACCTGTGGCCATGCCCTGCGTCCCACGGGGGGAATGCCATGTTCTCTGAGAGGGCGGGTGTCCAGCCCGCGAGCCACGGGTGCCAACCCAGGCAGTCGCCCCCGCATGGCTCCCCTGTCACAGGCGGAGAGGTGGGGGCTGACCCCAGGCGGGGGATATCAGAGCCCTGCCTTCCCGTGGAGTGGCTGTCTGGGCCAGGAGTCGGCCCGGACATTGTGACGGTGATGAGGGCACCAGGGACTCAGAGCAGGTGCTGCCCGGCCAGGGTGGACGGCGAGGAGACTTGGGCGTCCGTGCGGTCTGAATTACACCATGGGCACAGGCCTGGCTCTGGTCAGAACTCCTGGGTGGGCCACAGCCAAGCTATCCCCACCCCCAGGCCTGGGAGCCTCAGGCCCGGCCCCCTTGCTCTCCCACTGCTCTGCTTTCCCAGCCGTGTTCTGCTTCCTCTCCCGACACATGGGTCAGTGCACACAGAGCGGAGACCAGGCACTGCCTGGGAACGGCTGGCTTTGCCCACGTCCACGTGTCCCCTACCTCTCTAACTTCCTCTCCTGTGTGCTGTGAAGGCCAAGAGCTTACCGCTGAGGCACCCCTCTGCCTGGGGCCGGGCCCAGAACAGGCGCTGCCAGGCGCCTGCCTCGGTCTGCTGCTTCCCTACCACGGCCCTGAGCCCTGGCTCTTCCCAGGTGCAGCTCAGTGCCCGGGGTCTGAGGTCCCAGGTGCAGCTCAGTGCCCGGGGTCTGAGGTCCCAGGTACAGCTCAGTGCCCGGGGTCTGAGGTCCCAGGGGCAGCTCAGTGCCCGGGGTCTGAGGTCCCAGGTGCAGCTCAGTGCCCGGGGTCTGAGGTCCCAGGTGCAGCTCAGTGCCCGGGGTCTAAGGGTCCCAGGTGCAGCTCAGTGCCCGGGGTCTGAGGTCCCAGGTGCAGCTCAGTGCCCGGGGTCTGAGGTCCCAGGGGCAGCTCAGTGCCCGGGGTCTGAGGTCCCAGGGGCAGCTCAGTGCCCGGGGTCTGAGGTCCCAGGGGCAGCTCAGTGCCCGGGGTCTGAGGTCCCAGGGGCAGCTCAGTGCCCGGGGTCTGAGGTCCCAGGTGCAGCTCAGTGCCCGGGGTCTAAGGGTCCCAGGTGCAGCTCAGTGCCCGGGGTCTGAGGTCCCAGGTGCAGCTCAGTGCCCGGGATCTGAGGTCCCAAGTGCAGCTCAGTGCCCGAGGTCTAAGGGTCCCAGGTGCAGCTCAGTGCCCGGGGTCTAAGGGTCCCAGGTACAGCTCAGTGCCCGGGGTCTGAGGTCCCAGGTGCAGCTCAGTGCCCGGGGTCTAAGGGCCCCAGGTGCAGCTCAGTGCCCGGGGTCTGAGGTCCCAGGTGCAGCTCAGTGCCCGGGGTCTGAGGTCCCAGGTACAGCTCAGTGCCCGGGGTCTGAGGTCCCAGGGGCAGCTCAGTGCCCGGGGTCTGAGGTCCCAGGTGCAGCTCAGTGCCCAGGGTCTAAGGGTCCCAGGGGCAGCTCAGTGCCCAGGGTCTGAGGTCCCAGGGGCAGCTCAGTGCCCGGGGTCTGAGGTCCCAGGTGCAGCTCAGTGCCCGGGGTCTGAGGTCCCAGGTGCAACTCAGTGCCCAGGGTCTAAGGGTCCCAGGTGCAGCTCAGTGCCCAGGGTCTGAGGTCCCAGGTGCAGATCAGTGCCCAGGGTCTGAGGGCTCCTCCTTCCCAGGCACCTGCAGGGACCCCTCTCTGCCTCAGGCTCACTGCCCTGTAATCTCTACCTGCCCGTCTCTCTGCTTTTGTTCTTGGTCCCTCTTGGCTTGTTCTCCCTTCTCCCACTTCGTCTGGCTCCCAGTGCACACTGCCTGGGGAAGACCTGGCTCACGGAGCCACCGGGGACTCCTGCACTGCCCTTGGCAGCCGGGCCACAGGCAGTGGACTTGGCTCCTGCCTCTCTGAGCTTTGGTTCCCTCCTGCAGCAGACGAGAGTGACCTGCGGGTCAGCGTGGTTCACTTCCCAAATGGCCACAGCGGCCAGGGCTGTGCCAGGAGGAAGCCAGGAGCCAGGAGCTTCCTCCAGGTTCCCACGTGGGTGCAGGGGCCCAAGGACCTGGGGCATCTTATACTGCTTTCCCAGGCCACAGCAGAGAGCTGGATGGGAAGAGGAGCAGCCGGGACTTGAACTTGAGCACTCACAGGTGCCATCCCCCAGCGGGACTGGAGGAGCCTGGCCTGTGAGTGTGGCCGTGAGTGTGGCTGTGTGTGTGGCCGTGAGTGTGGCTGTGTGTGTGGACCTGTGGGTGTGGCTGTGGGTGTGGTGGTGAGTGTGGCTGGGTTCCCGGCTCACCTGCCCACCCGGCACTGGAATCCAGAGCCGCTGAGGCTTGGTCTCTCTGGAGCAGGTCAGAGACCTGCATGGTCGCCAGGACCAGCTGGGACCAGGGCGGCTCTGCCTCGTTCCAGCATCTCCCACCTTCCCGACGAAAGCTATGGCTGTCACTTGCTATGGCAGAGTGCATTCAGTCCAAATCCGCGATTACAGTTTTAAAATTGCAGCACTGCCGACGTGCCCGGGGCATCAGTGCCAGCCCCTGTCCCTGCCGTGTGCTGACGGGAGGCCCCATGTGGCGACGTCACTGACGAATCAAACATGTGCGGGGCCTCCCCCGCGGAATCATCCGGGGAAAAGGGAGATTAATATCAGTTCACAGCTGTGATCGGGCAGGCACACAGGCGCTCTGGAGCCTGGAAGGCCATGGCGGCTGGCGCTGGGGCGCTCGCCCTGTGCTGCCCGGTGAGCGACGCGGGTCAGGGCCTGGACAGCTCGCATGCGACCAGGGCCTGAGGAGCTGGGCAGTTCTCGTGGCCTCCGCTGACCCTGTGGCTCCCACGTGTTTCCCATGAGGTCCCTGCAGAGGGCCCCGTGCCCGCCTGGCTCCTGTTCCCGTGCTGACCATGGCTTCTCCCTGATTCTCTTCCCGCAGATGGAGTGGCCGCCTTCCGCGCCTTCCTCAAGACGGAGTTCAGTGAGGAGAACCTGGAGTTCTGGCTGGCCTGCGAGGACTTCAAGAAGACGCGGTCGGCGGCCAAGCTGGCCTCCAGGGCCCACAGGATCTTCGAGGAGTTTGTGGACGTGCAGGCCCCACGGGAGGTGCGTCGGCCGCGGCGCCCCTCAGGCCTGTGCGGGCCCTGGCATGCGTGCCTCTCCCGGGGCGGCCCTGCGGGAGGGGGAAGGGCCGAAGCCCAGCCTTGCTGCAGCCCAAGGGCCGCGGGGATTTTGCCAGGGTGGGTGGAGTTGAGCCTGTGCTCCACCAGACCCGGGGCGTCCTCTGGGCTCGCATCCAGGCCTGGCGGAGTCTCTTAAATTCACGGAGCGTCGTCACCCAGCGTAACCCGGCGCGGCCTCGGCCACCGCGGGCACCGTTGGCGAGGCTCATTAGTGAGTCCTTGCAGGTACTTGTGCCGCTCGGTCGTCATCGCTAACTGATGATTTACGGCTGTGTCGCTCTGGCCTTGACGCAGATGCTCCCTGAGAGAGCTCACAGGCCCTGAGAGGGCTCGCAGGCCCGGGCCCTTCAGGGAGACCCTGGCTCACCGGGCAGCTGCGACCCGGGGCCCCGGCCGAGCCGGCTGTGACAGACACGCGTGCTGGCCGCTCTGCGCGGGGAGTTTGTGTCTCTGCGGCTGGGGGAAGCCCTGGGCTTTCCGGCGGGAGGCTTCGGTGTGCCTGGGCTGCCGCCACCATCCCCAGCGGCGTAGGCCAACCTCGAGCGTCTGCTTCCCTTCCAAGTCCCTGCTGCCAGACTGATGCCGGGTGCGTCTGGCTCCAGAAGTCCCCGGGGGCTGGGTGGGGCCGCCTCGCTGCGGGGCGGGGGTGGGGTGGCGTGCTGGCCGCGACCTCGCCCTGTGTGCACCCTGCAGGTGAACATCGACTTCCAGACCCGAGAGGCCACGAGGAAAAACATGCAGGAGCCCTCGCTCACCTGCTTTGACCAAGCCCAGGGCAAGGTGCGCAGCCTCATGGAGAAGGACTCCTACCCCCGGTTCCTGAGGTCCCAGCTGTACTTGGACTTGCTGTCCCAGAGCCAGAGGAGGCTCAGCTAGACCGCAGCAGGAAGCCTCGGCTCCCCCTGGAGCCCACAGCGCCGAGCTCCCTCCCCAGCCCCCTCTGTGCTGGCTTGGCTCGCCCCTGCCCTGGGTCACCGCCCCTGCCAGGTGGAGCTGCCCTGCTGTTTCGCAGGTGCGTCTCCCACAGCCTCCCCCTCTTCCCACCCTGCTCACTTAGGCTCCTGAGGAACTGGGCCTGCCCAGGGAGGGGCCCCACGGCCTGGACAGAGGCCCCCCGGGAGCCCCAGCTTCTCCCACTGTGGCGGCCGGTGGCCTGGGCAGACCACCTCCAGGGAGCCGGCTCTCTCCTGAGCGGCCCAGGGCCGAGGTCTTCGCCCAGGACCACACGAGACTCCCCTCCTCGGCGTCCCCGTGAGGGTCTTGGGAGGCGTCCTTTGTGACCTCTGACCTATACAGCTGCCCTTGTCAAGACACGGCTTGGACAATCCCATCCCGTCCCCGGGCTGTACCGGGAGCCTTTCCCGTGGCACCTGCAGACTGGCAAAGCTGCCTGGGGTCTCCCAGGACACGGCGGTGAGGGCCAGGGCCCAGTAGCTCCCAGGGGCCCAAGGCTCCCCCGTCTGTCCACTCCTCATACAGCGGCTGGACCCCCTCCGCTTTGCTCCCGGGAGCGCACTGGGGAAGGCCCCTTTTGACCTCCGGCCTTCGGGACGTGTGGCCAAGGCGCCCGTGAGCCACCCTGGAAGGACGCTCTTCCCGGAGGATGGCTGAGTACACAGGGGCCGCCCCAGGAGCTCAGGAGATGCTGATGGTGGCACAGGGAGTGGAGACCAGGCGTGGAGGACGAGCCGGGACCAAGCCAGTCTCCGGGGGACTGAGTCGCAGAGGACATGGTGGTGGCACCCAGGAGCCCTCGGGCAACGCCTCCAGCCGGGCAGAAAGGATCCGTGGCTGGGCGCCAGCCCTGGGCTGCAGTGAAGCCCTCCCGCCACAGGTGGCGCCGGTGTGCCGCTTCCTTCCTTGGCCTCAGCTGGACAAGGCCACGGAGGCCCCCAGTGCCACGGTGTTAGGGTCACGGTCAGCTGGCGTGAGGGCTGGCGAGTGGGCGTGCACTGAGGTGTGGAGGGCGCCCCCTCCCTGCTGCCCCTGCCCTGCAGCCCCAGGGGGCCTCCCGGTTGCACAGGTAAGGACCGGCCTTGGCTGAGCTGAGCGGCTGGAAGTGATTAAATTCTGACAGGGTGTGTTACACATTGTTCACATGCAAATGGGCGGCTGCACTGCCTGTGAGGCCCACGTGGACCGGACTGCAGACTCAGGCCCGGGGCCATCCCCAGGAGGAGTGTCTGAACTTGGGGCTCAGCGTTCCGCCAGTGACTGTGGGCGGCCTCCCTGTGCCCAGCGCCTCCCTCACTCCACGAGGCATGTGCGCGTGTGCGCGCGTGTCGGCGTGCCGAGGAGCGTGGTGGCTCCTCTCAGGGCCTCCCAAGGAGCATGTGGGACAGTGGCCAGCATCAGGACTTCCTGGGGTGTGGGGCTCCCCACTGCCACGCCCCACTCCCCCCCAGCTGCCTCGCCCTGCTCCACCCCCACCCCCCAAGCTGCCTCGCCCTGCCCCACTCCTCCCCACGGCCTCACCCCACTCCCCCCACTGCTGCTTCACTCTGCTCTACCCCTACCCCCCAGCTGCTTCTCCCTGCTCCACCCCCTACCCACCCCATCTGCCTCACCCTGCTCCACCCCCTACCCCCCCAGCTGCCTCGCCCTGCGCCACCTCTACCCCCCCAGCTGCCTCGCCCTGCGCCACCCCTACCCACTCCAGCTGCCCTCGCCCTGCTTCCCGCAGAAGGCCCAGGGGTCTTGGATGCCCACTTCTGGACGCTGCGGTCTGTGGTCCAGCCCAGAGCGGTGTCCACAGCATCTAGTGCAATACGCAGCGTGCCCACGTCCCGGGCCCCAGGCCCTGTCCCCCACATCAGCACCCAGGCTACCTCCATCAGCGTCTTCCTCCGCTCGACCGCTGAGCTTGGCTGTGGACTGCTTCCCGGATGCCGCGTTTGCTCGGCCCCTGGGGCCTGTGTGGGGCTGAGCGAGCTCGGGCAGCGCCCTGGGCACGGCTGTGACCCAAGACCTCAGGGCCCACCCCGCAGAGCTGCCCTCGGCCTGCAGGCCCCTGGGGCACGAGGACCCGCTGGGTGGCTGTTTCAGGAGAGCCCGTTGCCCGTTCAGGCCCCGGACCCTAACCCAGAGACACTGAGGGCCAGAGCTGGGTGGGCCCAGGAACGCGGATCTCTCCTGGGCTTCCGGTGGGCAGGGGGCTTTGAACAAACGATCTGAAATGGAGCTCAGGACCTCGGCTGACCCTGGAGTCCCCTGGCAGGTCACAGCGAGCGTCCAGGTGCCACAGGTGGACCAGACTGGGGGCCTCGAGGGTGAGGGACACAGCTGGGGCTGGCGTGTCACCGGCCGGGGCTCAGACAGGGACTGGATTCCCTGGGACTCCCGGAAGCTGCCGCTTAGAGCAAACCAAAGCCCGGAAGTGGCATCCCTCGGACTTTGGGCGCCATGTGAACCCGAGGCGGCCCAGTCACGCTGGGCCATGGAGGACAGGGTGGGAAGGTGAGACCTGGGCTCACGCGGCAGCTGAGCCTCCGTGTGCACGGGATCAGGGGGCGGCACCAGGACTGCGCCGGCCCTGTCTGCGGCAGGCAGAGGAGCCACGGTGTCCTCCCCAAGGCCATCCCGCCCGTGCCGCACAGCTGCACCCCCCGGAGCAGGAGCAGGAAGAGGGGCCAGGCCGCTCCGGCACACACAGCCCCCGCCACGTGCCACGGAGCATGAGCCTCTGCAGGAGGGAGCCACCTCTCAGGACTGCCCACGCTGCTGCGACCCGGACGGCGGACGGTGGACATGGAGTGGGGTCACCGGCCTCCGGGGTGGGGTGCAGCTTCCGCTCTTGCCCTCACTCCTGCCCCGGGTCGCCTAGGACTTGTCTTCCCAAAGCTCACACAGATGTCCCAGTGCCCCGAGCCCTCCTGCTCCCCAGCATGGCAGAGGGGGCCGGTGGCGCCCGGCTGAGCCGCGGCCCGCACCCCGCTGCCTCCTTCCGACCAGGCTGTGAATACAATAAACGGAGCTGGAGCCGGAGCCGGCCCTGGCCCTCTGCCCACACTTCTGGCCGCCTGACTCTTCACGGACACGTGGGCTCCTCGCCGCGGCTGCACGGGGCCGGCCGCCAGCAAGGCAGGGCTGTGGGTGGCTTCGGGTTATGAGAGCGGCTTGGAAGCCGTGAAGAGCGCCTCACCCCAGGTGCGTTTTTATTAGCGCCGCCTACGGCCTGAGCGCCGGGGAGAGATGACTCGGATGACTCGTCCCCGTGTGCGGCGGGTCCCCGTGCTCCGCGGCAGGCACCGGGAAGCGCACAGGCGGGCGGGGCCCCTGTCTGTCGGCTGGGCTGCGGGTGACAAAGGCTGGATCCTCTCCCGGTTTAGGACGCTCCCAGGCAGGCAGGCCAGACTTTGAAGAGTCCTTCGGGTTCAATGAAAGGGCCTTTTGTTATGCAAATGACCGCCCCTGTTCCCGGGCTGCTGGTGTGGGGATGGGGCGTGCGCAGTGCACACCCGGCCTCCAGGGGAGGGGGCAGCCGGCTTCTCTCTTCTGCCCTTGCTCAAGGAGACGGGAAGGGGAGAGGGTGGGACTTCTTGTGGCTGCTGGGCGGAGCCTGGGGCTCCTGGAGGCTTGTGGGGGGCGGGGCCTGGTCCACCTGGTTCCTTGGAGACCTCTCTCAGGAACACACCCCCACAGCTGTCCGATCCCCGCCTGCCTGGCATCTGCTGTCCGCCCTGTAGGTCAGGCCTCAGCCAGCCCACTGCCCTCACTTCTGGTCGGCCAGGCTGGCAGCAGGTCCTGGTGCACGTGGCGAGCTCCCCATGGACCCACGGGGCCCAGTGGGCTCACGGCCCTCCCCAAGCCTTCCAAGGCCCCAGGCCCCGGTCTCCCCTCTGTGGGACGCCATCAGGGCCCCTCCCTGGGGTGTTCGCCTGCCGTGGGACCTGGTTGGGTGTCTGGGGCCCCCCAGGCTCTGCCTCGTGTCCACGCCTGGACACGCAGCACGCGTGGGAACAGGAGCTGTCGTGTCAGCCCAGTGAGGCCGTGGCTGAGGGCAGGGCCGGGCACTAGGGTACACTGCCGGCATGGTGGGCCCTGGAGAGCGCTGGTCGCAGGGCGGGTTTGTGAGTCCACACAGGGCGGGGGGCTCCTGCAGCTCCTCCTGCCAAAGGCACGGACCTGCGCGCACCCCCCATTGCGCCCCTCCAGACACTGCACCTGGGGTTAGGGTTTCCACACGTGCACGGGGCAGGGACGCCATCCAGTCCATTTTAGGGTCTATCCTGCTCCCTGCACAGCTGTGTGACGCAGCCCTGGGTGCTGCCCCCACCCGTGCCTGCTCGCCCCAGCCATGAGACAGAAGAACCCAGGTCACTGTTAGGAAACTGGCGCAGTTTTTCTATGGCGCGATCTACACCCTGATGTACATCCTAGGCCCTGGCTCCCCCCGCCTCCCGCCCCGTGAAAGCCAGGTGGCCACATGGCCCAACCCCCATCCTAATGGGATTCGCTGCTCCTGCTTCCCTGCCCGCCCTCCGGCAAAGTTTTAAAAGGACCTGTTCCTGAACACGTGGCTCTCTGGGCTCCTCTCCTCCTTTCCTCTCCTCTGTCTCTGTCTCTGTCTCTGTCTCTGTCTCTCTCTCTTATACTCTCCTCTCCCTTTTCCCTCCTTGCCCCTTCCCTCCGGTCTGCTGGTTTCCCCAGTAAACGCTTTCCCTTACTCCGGTGTTTGGTGTGTTTTGTGATGGCCTAGCAGAAATACATAACAACACCCCCACACTTTCCTGATCACTTGGGCTTGACCTTTGACCCGGGTCGCCCCAGCACACTCTGGTGTGACCCCCAGCTGTATGTCTCACAAGCCGTAGGAGCCAAGGGGAGTCAGTCTGTGACAGCGCAGGCGGCCGCGTGCTCATCCCGGGGCGCAGGTCCCGGGTACCTGCCTCATCCTGGGTCTCCTGACCACGTGTTCACACCGGAAGTTCCCAGGATGGATCAGGACCACAGTGATGGGAGGATGGATCAGGACCACAGTGATGGGAGGCAAGAAACGAAAGACGGGCCTCACAGGCAGAGCCCTCGGCCCCCCGGCCTTGCGTGCAGGTGTGGGCGTGAGGAGTACGTGTGCCTCACGGGCAATGCCAAGGATGAGTGTGCACTCATGGGCGGCCAAGCAGAGAAGTGAGTGTGTCTCACACAGGCCATGTGAGGAGTGAGTGTGCACTCACACAGGCCACACTGAGGAGTGAGTGTGCACTCACACAGGCCACACTGAGGAGTGAGTGTGTCTCACACAGGCCACACTGAGGAGTGAGTGTGTCTCACACAGGCCACACTCAGGAGTGAGTGTGTCTCACACAGGCCACACTGAGGAGTGAGTGTGCATTCACACAGGCCATGTGAGGAGTGAGTGTGCACTCACACAGGCCACACTGAGGAGTGAGTGTGCACTCACACAGGCCACACTGAGGAGTGAGTGTGTCTCACACAGGCCACACTGAGGAGTGAGTGTGCATTCACACAGGCCATGTGAGGAGTGAGTGTGTCTCACACAGGCCACACTGAGGAGTGTGCACTCACACAGGCCACGCTGCATGGCTTGCCTGCCCTCAGGCCTGTTATCAGTCAGCTGCTGTCGGGCTCGGCCCCTGCCACCACCCTGCAGGCCACATTGAGTCAGCGTGGCGCTCTGTGGCCGTGGCGGCTCTGGCAGCAGACGTGGGCGTCTCTGTTCCAGGGCTGGCTCCCAAGGCCTGTTTCCTGTGAGTCCCCCGGGCCCGCAGACCCGCTCCTCGGGGGCCCTTCCTGTCCTGCAGGGACGCCGCCTTCCCGGTCTGGGCCGCCTGTGGCCTCCCCTGATCTCAGCCCCTCTGTAGAAAGCCCAGCCCCATTTCCAGGGTCCTGGGGCTTGGGTGACGCCCTTGGTGTCTGTCTTTACCAAGGAGGGGGCTGAGCGCAGAGAGGTTGTCCTGCAGGAGTGGGGGAGGGGCCAGGGAATGCTGTTTGGATGCCTGGCCTGGCTGAAGGGGGGCAGGGCAGTGAGGGGAAGGAGCTGGGGGTCTTTTGGGGACAGAGCGCCCTGCTCAGGAGAGGGCAGAGCCTCCGCCCAGGCGCACCCCGAGGCCAGACGTGGTGCCTGGTGTGGCAGAGGGGCTGCTCTCAGCTGGCGGCAGCGAGCCGGCTCGGCCCCTCCCCCCACAAGCTCCTTGGTGGATGGGGCAGCTGCTGGCCACCTGCTCACCAGCCGGCTAAGCCCTTTTGTCGGCAGGAGCAGGCATCTGGCGAGAAGAAAAGGCTGGAGAGACCGTGGTGGGGTGGCCTGGGCCTTTAGCTGCCCGTGTCCATACAGTGGCCCAGGCGCCTGTCCCACCCCCCACCCCCAAGCTCCCACGCACAGGCCCCCTCTGCTGGCTGGGAGCTATCCCGGCGGCACCTGGCTGCCAGCCAGGCCGGCTCACAGGGGCTTGGGGGGCTTCCAGGGCTTCCAGGGAGGAGGAGCGCGAGGCCCAGCCCCGGAGCTGTGCTAGGCCTTGCAGGCTCCTGGGTCACCCGCCGCTCCTCCGAGGATGCTGAGGTCCGTGCGCCCGCCTGCCCCAGGGCCCACACCGGCCACCTCGTCGGGTGAGGCGGGGTCCGGTCTCATGCCCTGCTCTCCCTCCTCGGCCTTTCCCCTGGACTGCTGGCAAGCGTCAGGTCTGGCTCTCCTTGGGTTGTGGCGCCCACGGTCGGCCCCTGGCCGTCCCAGCTGACCCTCGGTCAGTAGTGCCTCAGCACCAGGTGGCTTTCCCTTCGGACACTCCCTGTCCCCAGGAGCCTTCAGCGAGCTGCACCGAGGCCCAAGGCCCTGGAGAAGGGAGAGACCCTGCGGGGACCCGCAGCCCTCGGTGCAGGGTTTCCAGGCGCAGGACTGCGGGCAGTGAAAGCTGGCCTGCCACGGTCTCTTGGCCTGGCGATCCTGCGTCTGATTGAACGCCGTCTGCCCATCCCTGACATCGTCTGTGGCTTGTTCTCCCTGCTGTTGCACAGACTGGGGCGTGGCCTTGCCGGGGGACCCCTGGATGGCACCAGGGCTGGTTTCGCCCCGCTGGTGTGGCCCTGGGGTGGGGTCAGAAGGCGGCCCTGCAGGTGGAGCCTGGCAGGCTTCAATGGGCAGGAGGGAGGGTGCCGGGAGGACCAGCCAGGCTGGGGACGACTGAGCAGGCCTCCCCGGACCAGCACAGAGAGGCCGTGAGCACAGGAACCTGTGTCCGGCTGAGGCCAGGCCTGCAGGTGCACTGCTCCGCCCCACAGCCAAGCCCTGCCCCCTTCACAGCATCCTGGGTTCAGGTCCTGGCCTGGGTGTTCCCTGGCTGCGCAGTCTTGGGCAGTCTCAGGATCCATTCTGTGCCTCAACTTCCCCTTCTGTAAGTAGTCTCAGCGATCCCACTCCTAGGTAAGACCTAGGACCACCCGGTCAGGTGCTCAGGACTGTTGTGCCATTTGAAGGAGGGGCCGAGCCGCACAGTGGCCTGCACCGCAGCAAGACCAGGTGACAACCCAGGACGTCCTCGCAGGTCCCCACCCGGGCACGACCAATGCCGGGGTCGCCCGGGGAGCAGCACGGGGGTCACGCGCAGGATCTGCTGGGCTGATCACTGACAGGTGCAGCTGGTCAGTGGGTAACCAGGCAGGGCGGACCCCCGAGGCGGCATTGGCCAATGTGAAGACGATCTAGCTTTGTGCCCTGAGGCCCGAAGAGCAAGAGGCCAGGAGCGGTACTGGGCAGTGAGCAGTGTGCGGCTTGCTGGGCCTGTCACTCAGGAGAGGGGTCTGGGCCTGACACTCAGGAGAGGGGATCTGGGCCTGTCACTCAGGAGAGAGGTCGGGGCCCAGTCACTCAGGAGAGGGGTCTTGGCCCTGTCACTCAGGAGAGAGGGCTGGGACTGTCACTCAGGGGAGGGGGCTGGGCCCTGTCACTCAGGGGAAGGAGGCTGGGACTGTCACTCAGGGGAAGGGGTCTGGGCCCTGTCACTCAGGAGAGGGGGTCTGAGCCCTGTCACTCAGGAGAGGGGGCTGGGCCTGTCACTCAGGGGAGGGGTCTGGGCCTGACACTCAGGAGAGGGGGCTGGGCCCTGTCACTCAGAGAGGGGGCTGGGACTGTCACTCAGGGGAGGGGTCTGGGCCCTGTCACTCAGGAGAGGGGTTCTGGTCCTGTCACTCAGGGGTGGGGTCTGGGCCCTGTCACTCAGGAGAGGGGTCTGGGCTGTCAGTCAGGGGAGGGGGTCTGGGCTGTCAGTCAGGGGAGGGGGTCTGGGCCCTGTCACTTGTGATAGGGGTCTGGCCCTGTCACTCAGGAGAGGGGTCTGGGCCCTGTCACTCAGGGGAGGGGGTCTGGTCCTGTCACTCAGGGGAGGGGGACTGGGCCCTGTCACTCAGGAGAGGGGTCTGGTCCTGTCACTCAGGAGTAGATCTGGGCCCTGTCACTCAGGAGAGGGGTCTGGGCCTGTCACTCAGGGGTGGGGTCTGGGCCCTGTCACT